AAATGAGCATCTCGCTTTAAAATTATTCAGCCAAAACCCCAAAACCCCAAAACCCCAAAACCCCAAAACCCCATTTTCAAAGTTTTATTGAAACATTTTTAGATAAAAATGGCACTCTCAGAATACACAAAAGGAATCTTATGAGTATTAGGAGGCGTAAGCATCCATTTGTTTTTAGGGTGACTTTATCTATATGGCAATATACAAGTGTATATCACTAGTTATTTTCATATCTATGATGACAGTATTTCTTTGAACACAACACTAATTATCGGTCCTATCCTAACCACAATGCAAGGAATTGCTATATTTATTGGGCCAATTCTGATGAAATATATGAACCCAAGATTAGTGATAGTCATAGGATTATCCATCTGTCTTGGCAGTATATTTGCGGCAACCTTTACAACAAACTTTATTGTGTTTGCAATTTTATTTGCCCTCTTTGGAATCGGAATAGGTATTGCTTATCTTGTCCCTCTTCTTCTAGCTTGGGAGTTCTTCCCACAAAGAAAAGGACTTCTGAGTGGGATAATAGTTGGCGCTTTTGGATTTGGTGCATTCTTCTTTGGCTTTATTTCCCTAGCGATAGTTAATCCAAGTAATGAAAGCCCAACTATTCATACTGAAGGAGGTGACATTTTTGATAAAGATAGTAAACCTGCAAGAGATGCACTAAAAATGCTTAGAACCAATTGAGCTATCTGGCTCGGGCTGAGTCTGCTTGGAGTATTGTTGATCAATAAGAAACGAAGAAAGCTTAAAGTTCTATCTAGCAAAGACGATAGTCAACCTATTGAAAATAATTTGAACACAGATCCTTTACTAAAATCAAAAGAAGGGCAAGTACAAGGCACCAAAAATGTTGATTCAAATCCTATAGAACTATACCAGTCCTCTTCAGAAGGCACAGAGAAATATATAGATGAGTATGAAGGATATTATGAAGAAGATAGCTCAGGAAAGCAAACAGACTCATTTGCATCAACAGTTTATGTGCCCTTCAAAACAGCTATTAGAGATTACAGGTCCTACATTATTTTTATCGTTGCTCCTTTGTCTCTCCTCCAGGGTACCCTTGTTAGCTTCATATTTAAAAACTATGGACTCGAAAATATCAACGATGATGCATTTATTACCACTGTTGGAACAATAGGATCAGTCATGAACGGAATCTCACGAGGGTTCTGGGGAGTACTTATCGATAAATTCCCTTACAAATATGTATTCGGATCTTTAATGATTATTCAAATAATCATTGGTTTCACAATAAGCCAAATTGTTGAGTATAAAGCACTATACCTAATATGGATAGGCATTTCATTCTTCTGACTGGGGGGACACTTTTCAATAACACCTACAATATTTGCTAAACTTTTTGGTGCCAAGACCGGGAGTAAGATGTATAGTCTGTGATTCTTTCTGATGATACCTCCAGGAATCATTGCTCTTGTACTATCAAAGACACTTTACAAATCAATTGGATATGGGAAAATCTTCTACATCACAGCAGGAGTAACTTGAGTAGGCTTATTCCTACTACTATTCTTCAAACAGAACAGATAAGATCATAATATTTTCAACAATTTGGTTAAAATATGGGGTTTTGGGGTTTTGGGGTTTTGGGGTTTTGGGG